TCATCTCATCGTCACTGATATGATCAACTATCCTAGGAGATCTAATCAAAATGACTGGTCCAGAAATGCAAGCAAAGAGAGGAGTGGAAACTTGCTGCCAATCATGGAGAAACCATCGCTGTCAAGCAACAGGGGCATTTCAAGCAAGCAGAAACTTTGGCACTATAGCCTTTAGACACTTAGCTACTGAACTACATCAACATTTCTGCAGCAGATTTCTGATACTCTAAGGTTCCAGCAATTGCATGCAACAAATTCTGGTACCAAACGCAAGTCAAAAGCAAACATTCATCCTTATTTCCACAGCATCCAACATCGGACAGATTTTCATTAGTAAAAACCAAAGCTAACAAACTCATCAATCAATATGCAATCTGACCCAAACGAAAATGATATATTCAGTAAACACGCATCATGCGAAGACCATTAAATGCCGAACGGAGGAAAACCAGACATCAAGGGAAACATTACGGAACCAGACCCAACGAAAAACTATAAAACTGAAAGCTTATTGCAATTATCTGGTTTTTGTTCATTCAAACGCATGAAGATCGTTCATAAACATTAGACGCATGAAAACTCTAACGGCTGTCCCTAAAATCCAGCCGATACTCATGGATTCATCCATCCCAACCAGATTTTGCAGACAGGGTTCATAAAGGGAAACGACACAAGCGTAAAGACAGGAACTTTCAGCATTCTATCATAGTCAACAGTTTATAAATGGCTCCAGAGTAGAAAAACATCACCTTTAGCTTTTGATCAAAGCTTGATTCAGAAGATGAAATCTTTGCTCAGTCGAATTGTCATTTCCTGGTTTTGCCATTTTCCTTCTGTCCGGCAGCCGCTTATCCTTGTTTTCTCCCTTCGGTTTCAGCCGAATACCCCCTTCGAAACCTTCCTCCTTTGCCTTTTCTCTGCTTGTTTCCCTTTTGATTTCTTCTCCTCCGTCCCAGCTCGCTCCTCCGTCGACCTTCCCTTTTCTGGTTCCTTTTCTCTCTTCCCAACCTCAGCCGTCCAGTCTCCTGGTCTCTCTCTATTGCTCTCTGTCCTCTATCCCAACTCTCGGTTCTTGTTTTCCAGCCACCCACCTCAAAAACCTCCCATAGCTTTTTCCTACAGCCGTCAACTCTCTCCTCTCACTGTTTTTGTTTTGCCTTTTTCCAGAGAACTCCTCGGTTGTGTCTTTCTTTTCCAAACTCCGCCGTTCACTCTCTCCTTGCTCTTTTTATGTTTCTCTCTTGCTCCAGTTTTTTTCTTTCCGTTCGCTCCCCTCTCCCAACTCTCGGTTTTTTCTCCGCCGTTAACTCTCTCAACCTCCCCTTGCGGCTACTCCTTCCTTTGCCTTTTATATCCAGCTCTCAACCTTCTAAACCCTCACCCCAATGGTGAGGATGAAAGGCCCTCTTGGCCTCAAAATCCAGCCCTCCAAAGTAGCTTCGTGGCTGTCCTTTGCACGCTGCAAAAAATTGCAGCGTGCATGCCGCACCATTATTTATTTTTTTTTTAAGTAATTTAACACAAATGATAATAAAAATAAATAACAAAAATAATTTAATTAACATTGGATAAAATAAATAAACTAGAAGCAACAAAGTGCAAATTCAATTTTCCTTTTTTTCATTTTCCATTTTCATCGTTTTCTCTTTTTTTTTTCTCTTTTTCCTTTTTTCAATTTTCAATTTTCATTTTTTTCTTTTCATTTTAAATAATGAAACTAAATCCAAAACAACTAAAACATATTTTTTAACACTTTTGTTTTTCCTTTGAGAAATTCTACGCTAAAATGGCTAAAATAACTAAAACTAAAAGTAAATAAAACTAATCGCGACAAATAAAAATAGAACAAATGAAAAATGAATAGTAAAAAAATAAATAATAAAACACCAAAAATTTGGTGTCTACAGACCTCCTTACCCTCAAAGATTTCCCCCACCAAACAGACCCACCTACAACTATCCCCAACCTACTGAAACCTACAATCAAAATCGTGCTCGAACATTCACTAACCTTGGCAGGCCTTTGGATCAGTTGTTCGAGCAATTAAAGGCTGCCGGTAAAATAGGTGTGATTCCCCCTCCAACTTACCCGTATGGCGTGCCAGCTGGGTATAATCCACAGGTTACTTGTGCTTATCATTCAGGGGCGCCTGGTCACTCCACGGCCAATTGCCGACTCCTTAAACATAAGGTTCAAGACATGGTGGAAGCAGGGGAAATCGTGATTAAGAAAAGAGAAGAGCAAGGACCGAATGTGAGCAAAAATCCCTTGCCGGAGCACGCCGATACTGTTGGAGTTATCATGGATAATGAGGAATTCGAAGAGCTTGTTCGAAGTATGTCAAATGGGATAGAAGTGTGTGGGATAATGGAGAAACCTTTTGTGATAGAGGAGGCATCGTATGAGGAAGACAAAAGGCCCTTCATTTTAGACCTAACTCCATCCGAAAGTGCGGCCTTAGAACCGGTGATAATTGAATTCCCAGAACAAGCGCCAGTTTTAAGTCTACGACAAGTGCCGTGGAATTATAGTGAGCCCGTTTTGCAAATCGGAGGCAAACTAGTTTTGAAGGAAAAAGTGTCTGTTGTTACGAGGTCAGGGAAGATTGCAAGTCCCTCAACTGCTAACGCCCCAATTAAAGTAAACAATCGTGAGCCGACTACCAAGCCCGCAGTGACCGAAAGAGAAACATGGGATTTTCTTAAGAGGCTTAAGAGAAGCGAATACAATGTGGTCGAACAGTTGAACAAGATGCCTGCCCAAATTTCCATACTGGACTTGCTTTTCACCTCAGACTTGCATAGGGATGCATTACTTGAAGTGTTGACCAAGGCTCGTATTCCCAAGGATATTTCGGTTGACAATTTCTTGCACATAGTTGGAAATGTATTGGCTGCTAAACAAATCACTTTTTCTGATGAAGAGCTGGCTGCGGAAGGAATTGGTCATAACAAAGCCTTATATGTAGCTGTGAGGTGCAATGGGAAAATATTGCCTAAAGTACTGATCGACAATGGGTCTGCCCTCAATATTTGTCCTTGGAGCACGTTGGTGAAGTTAGGGCTACAAGATGTCAAATTGAAACCCTCAGAGACCGTAGTTAGAGGATTCGACGGAGCCCAAAGGGAGTCCATTGGAGAAGTAAATTTGGTGGTTGAAATGGGGCCCGCTCAATTTCAGATAGCCTGTCAAGTTATGCATTTTCCTAGTGTCTATAATGTTTTACTTGGGCGGCTGTGGATTCATAGCTCTGGCGCTGTGCCCTTTTCCTTGCATCAAGTATTGAAATTTGTGGTGAATGACCAGCTGATCACCATTTTTGCTGAAGAAGATTGCATTGTAATTGCCGATTCCGAGCCTGAGGAGGATGGTAACCGAAATGCTTCAGTGTCTTCTTACCGTACAACTGATATTGTCTCCATCAGTTGGATAACAAGTGAGGATTCAAAAGACAAAATGGTTTTACCAGCGGCCAGTGTCATGATGGCCAAGGAGATGATTCGCGGAGGATATGAATTTGACAAGGGATTGGGACGCAATTTGCAAGGCATGTTGAAACCTGTGGAACTCATCGAAAAGAAGGACCTATTTGGTTTGGGATTCCGTCTGACCGCCAGAGATATACAAGAGATGAAAGCGCGCAAAAGGGCAGAAAAGGAAGGCAAGATAGGTGCTTTAGACATTCCGCCATTACGCTATACCTTTCCAAAGCCAGCTAAAGTCATTACATCAGGGTTTAGCCCAATTGACGAAGTGGAGACAAGTCTGACTCATTTGTTTGTGGGAGCAATATCCGAAAATGGCCCGTCAGATGATGCCGAATTCCCAGACATTCCCCAAGGAGTTATACACAACTGGACCGCCGAGTACTTCCCCGTGCGAAAGGAGTTTCGGTAAATCTACAGGGGGTTGTCGTTTATTAAAGCTCATGAAAACTTTTCTTGCATATGTAAATAGTTCAATGAAAGTATCTTTTGCCCTTATGTTTTAGCTTGTTTTCGTTTTGATTTGAAGTTTTATGAAAATGCATAGTTTGTTTTATCATGTCGTTCATTCATGTGTCTATTTGCTTATTATCTCGAATTTCTTAATTCTTTCAGATGGCCAAAAGTAAAATTATTTAACTCTTTGGATATCACTGTTCTGGAATCTGATGATGACAATCTTTATATCACTCACGACTTGGAAGTTATGGAATCCGGATTTCAGAGCGAGAGTGATAGTGAGGAAGTGTTTGATTCTTTTTCAAAAGATCTTGAACAATATGAGGAGAAATCTAAACTGAACCTGGAAGAAACAGAAGTTGTTAACATTGGTACTGAGACTGAGGTTAAGGAAATACAAATCAGCATTCATTTGAACAAAAAGCAGAAAGAAGAGATGATCGAATTTTTGTCTATGTTCCGAGATGTGTTTGCATGGTCTTATGACGATATGACTGGCATTTCGACTGATGTAGTGGTGCACAGATTACCCACAAACCCCGATTTTCCACCAGTAAAGCAAAGACCCCGTAAATTCAAACCAGATATGAGCCTCAAAATAAAAGAGCAAATTGAAAAACAGCTTAAGACTAATATTATCATTGTATCCCATTACCCTGTTTGGCTCTCGAATCCAGTCCCTGTTCCAAAGAAAAATGGAGAAGTGCGAGTCTGTGTTGACTATAGGGACCTAAATAAGGCCAGCCCTAAAGATGACTTTCCTTTGCCAAATATCCATATCATTCTAGACAACACTGCCGGACACGAAATTGAATATTTCTGTGATTGTTTCGCTGGATATCATCAGATCTTAATGGCTTAGGAGGATAGAGAAAAAATTGCTTTTATCACCCCTTGGGACACCTTTTGCTATCGAGTAATGCCGTTTGGTTTAAAGAATGCCGGAGCTACTTATCAAAGGACTATGACTACTTTGTTTCATGACATGATCCACAAGGAGATGGAGGTCTACGTGGATGACATTATAATCAATCCAAGAAAGCTGAAGACCATTTGATGGATTTAAGGAAGTTGTTTGAAAGGTTACGAAAGTACAATTTGAAGTTAAATCCTGCAAAGTGCGCCTTTGGAGCACCAGCTGGTAAATTGTTAGGTTTCATTGTCAGCAAGAAGGGCATAGAGATAGACCCGGTAAAGATCAAGGCAATTCGAGACATGCCAGTGCCGAAAACGCAGAAAGATGTGAAAAGCTTTTTGGGGAAGATTAACTTCATTGGAAGATTCATTGCCCAATTAACCGCGACGTGTGAGCCACTATTCAAGTTGTTAAAAAAGAATGTGCCGTTGCATTGGAATGAGGAATGCCAACAAGCTTTTGACAAGATTAAAGATTATTTGCTGCAGCCTCCGGTCCTAGTGCCACCCAAACTGGGCCGGCCTTTGATCATGTACTTATCTGTGCTCGACGGAGCAGTAGGGTGTGTTCTAGGTCAGCACGATGACTCGGGAAGGAAAGAGCAAGCCATCTACTATCTTAGCAAGAAATTCACGCAGTATGAGGCTAATTATTCATTTATCGAGAAAAGCTGCTGTGCTTTGGCCTGGGCAGCTCAAAAGTTAAGGCACTACCTGCTAAGTCATACTACCTACCTCATTTCCCGCTCCGATCCTTTGAAATACCTCTTGGAGAAGCCGATGCCAACTGGGCGTCTAGCCAAATGGCAGATGATTCTTTCGGAGTTTGACATTGTTTTCACTTCGCAAAAGGCCGTCAAGGGGCAAGCTATAGCCGACCATTTGGCAGAAAATCCAAAGGACGATGATTATCAACCGCTCCATACCTATTTCCCTGATGAAAAGGTTTTATTTGTTGATGCCGTAGAAGATATGAGCGAGCAGTGCCCGGAATGGAGATTGTTTTTCGATGGTGCAGCTAATTCTTTTGGAGTCGGAATAGGAGCAGTCCTTGTATCCCCGGAGGGGAGGCATTACCCTGGAGCCGCTAAGTTGCAATTTGCTTGCACGAACAACATGGTCGAGTATGAAGCATGTATTTTTGGTCTTAAAATGGCTTTGGAAATGGAGGTTAAGGAGTTAATAGCTTTTAGTGATTCAGATTTACTTGTGCACCAAACGTTGAAGCAGTGGGTAATCAAAGATTCAAAAATCCTGCCATACCACTGTAATTTGCTCAATTTGGCTAAACAATTTCAAAGTTTGGAATTCAGACATCTCCCACGAGCTCGAAATGCATTTGCAGATGCCTTGGCCACTTTATCTTCCATGATACAATATCCGGACGAATTGGGAATCGAGCCTATCCGGATTCAACTCCAAGACAAGCCTGCTCATTGTTGGGTCATAGACAAGACATCTGGCAAAAGTCCTTGGTACAATGATATTAAGGAATTCATCAAAATCGGATCTTACCCTCCAGAAGCTAGTACAAATGACAAGGGTTTCCTGCGCAGAATGGCCTCGAAGTTTTTCTTAAATGGAGAGGTATTATACAAAAGGACCTCAGATTTGAACCTCTTAAGGTGCGTCGATGAAAATGAAGCTCAATACATGATGAAGGAGGTGCATAGTGGCGTCTGCGGACCCCACATGAATGGACATTTGTTGGCGAAGAAAATCATGAGAACCGGGTATTTTTGGCTTACAATGGAACACGATTGCATAGATTTTGTCCGGAGATGTATTAAATGTCAAATGCATGGCGACGTCATACGCGCTCCTCCTACCGAGTTACATAGCATGATTGCTCCATGGCCCTGCTCAATGTGGGGTATGGATGTGATTGGCACAACTGACCCTCCTGCTTCAAATGGGCATCGATTTATATTGGTGGCAATTGAGTACTTCACCAAATGGGTCGAAGCGGAATCATTCAAGCATGTGACAAAGAAGGTGGTGGCGAATTTCTTAAGAGATCACATCATATGCAGATTTGGGGTGCCGGAAACATTGATTACAGACAATGCCAAGAATCTCAACAATGATATGGTGGACGGGCTATGCGAACAGTTCAAAGTCAGACATCGCAACTCTGCCATCTATAGACTGCAGATGAATGGAGCTGTGGAGGCCGCAAACAAGAATTTGAAGAAGATCATTCACAAAATGACTGAAAAGCATCGTGACTGGCATGACAAGCTCCCTTACGCACTAATGGCGTATCGGACTTCTATCCGAACATCAACTGGGGCAACACCCTACTCGCTCATGTAAGGAATGGAAGCAGTGCTGCCTGCCGAGGTCGATATCCCTTCATTGCGTATTCTAATGGAGACCAAGTTGGAGGAGGCTGATTGGATAAAGCAGCGTTATGAACAACTCTCTTTGATTGATGAAAGACGGCTTAATGCCATTTGTCACGGCCAATGTTACCAAAAGCGCATGGCCCGGGCCTACAACAAGAAGGTCCATTTGCGTACATTTGAGGAAGGCGACAAAGTGTTGAAGCGAATTTTGCCGGTGCAAGATGAGGCCAAAGGCAAGTTCGCTCCAAATTGGCAAGGGCCATTCATTGTTAAAAAGGTACTACCTGGCGGAGCCCTCATTCTGGCAGAAATGGACGGACAAACTTTTCCTCAACCTATCAACTCAGACATGTGCAAGAAATTCTTCATTTGATTACGCAAAACTTCTTTTAGAAATTCATGCAAAGGATGAAATGCAAGTCAGGCCATCTTCTTTCCCATTTGAAACATTCAATCCCTAGTTATCACTTTTGAGCTATCAGTCTAATAATTTTCGTTTGGCAACCCCTGAGAATTGCAAACCCCACATTGGGGCAGATTTATTGTGAGAAAGAAAAAAAAAAACAACAATAAGAGAGGAAAACCCCACACTGGGGAAAATTTAGTTTTTCTAAAGAAAAATACAAAGGTAAGGAAAATGCAATGCAAAAATGCAAGGAGAGAAATCCAATCAAACTGGGGCAAATTTTCCTCAGTTTTCGTTCAAAGTTGGAGATGATTTTAAGATGATGCAATCTCAGGTCATTTCACGCTTTTTCATTAAAATTTTTGCTTTCAAGCTTCAACCTTTCTTGAAAACACCCCACCTGACCTCATTACAAAAGCCCAAAGTCCTGGCTTTTGTCACTTGCTGAATTTCTATTAGGAGGTTCGCTAGTCACTGGCAGGTGATGTCCATAATGCCTTCACCTAAACTTATAAGGGAAGCGCATTTTACTGATGCCAGCAATTTTTCAACTCACACTCCTGAGTCAATCATGGTCGAGCTTCTCCATTATTCCTTAGGTGAAAATCCGAAAGGGCACCTCAAAAAAAAAAAAAAAGAAGAAAGAAAAGAAAAAAACAAACAAAAAGCAAAAAGGGTGGGGGCAACTTTGGTGAAAACCCGAAAGGGCGCCAAGGTAGGGTCCTGCAACGAACAAGCACGAGGAGGAGCAGCTGGTGACTTGGTTCATTCGGATTTCTCTTCGTTTTGTAACACTTCCGTCAACATCGAATTCCAGAACAAAGATATCCAGAGATTCGAATGCGACATCTGTTGGCCAAAAGCTGTGTTTCACTCTGAATAAATATTCTTTTGCCACTACATTCTCATGAAATTCAATTTTTCTCAATTATTTGTATTCATGACTTTTTCATGGGTTTAGGCATGATTGATCGTGTTTGCATCCTTTTCGCATATTCATACCTGCACAGTATGTGAATTTCTTTTACATGCATCATTGAGTTTCAATAAATGACAACCCCCGTGATTTGTGCAAAGCATACTTTGGATTCAATCATCTTTTAGGAAATGGACGTGATTCAGTAGGGCCCGGTACACCGATCTCATAATATGGCTAAAGGCATACCTGGTGGGTCTGAGAAGAGTCAGAAAGTCTCTGAAGTAGTAAATCCAACTAAATCAGATATCACAGCCAAAGTTGACGAAAGAATCAAAGACTCATGTTTACACGATTCTCAAAGGGGACCGGGTCAAATGATGGTGGCAATTGCCTTATTCTTTCTCTTTTGCAGAAAATTTCACGCATGGAGAGAAACAATCACATCTCACACTGGAGTCGGTATCGGAAAGTTTTTCGGCAAACAAAGACGGATCGGATAAGTTGCAAGCAAGCTTCATCAAAGGCACAACCAAACGGTAAGCATACTGGAACCTTTCCAATTTTTAATTCCATGTTGGGGTCAGTCCCCTCGGGTTAGTCCCGATTTTAAATTTCTGTCTCGGGTCAGTCCCGATTTTAAATTGCTGTCTCGGGTCAGTCCCGATTTTAAATTTCTGTCTCGGGTCAGTCCCGATTTTAAATTGCTGTCTCGGGTCAGTCCCGATTTTAAATTTCTGTCTCGGGTCAGTCCCGATTTTAAATTGCTGTTTCGGGTCAGTCCCGATTTTAAATTGCTGTCTCGGGTCAGTCCCGATTTTAAATTTCCTGTCTCGAGTCAGTCCCGATTTTAAAATTCCTGTTTCGGGTCAGTCCCGATTTTAAAAGTCTCGGGTCAGTCGGGTTTTCCCGATTTTAAATTTCTGTCTCGGGTCAGTCCCGATTTTAAATTGCTGTCTCGGGTCAGTCCCGATTTTAAATTTCTGTCTCGGGTCAGTCCCGATTTTAAATTGCTGTCTCGGGTCAGTCCCGATTTTAAATTTCTGTCTCGGGTCAATCCCGATTTTAAAATTCCTGTTTCGGGCCAGTCCCGATTTTAAATTGCTGTCTTGGGTCAGTCCCGATTTTAAAATTCCATGTTGGGGTCAGTCCCCTCGGGTCAGTCCCGATTTTAAATTTCTGTCTCGGGTCAGTCCCGATTTTAAATTCCATGTTGGGGTCGGTCCCCTCGGGTCAGTCCCGATTTTAAATTTCTGTCTCGGGTCAGTCCCAATTTTAAAATTCCTGTTTCGGGTCAGTCCCGATTTTAAATTGCTGTCTCGGGTCAGTCCCGATTTTAAATTTCATGTTGGGGTCAGTCCCCTCGGGTCAGTCCCGATTTTAAATTTCATGTTGGGGTCAGTCCCCTCGGGTCAGTCCCGATTTTAGAATTTCATGTTAGGGTCAGTCCCGATTTTAAAATTCCATGTTGGGGTCAGTCCCCTCGGGTTAGTCCCGATTTAAAATCCTGTTGGGGTCAGTCCCCTTTTAAATTTTCTGTTTGGTCAGTCCATTTTTAATTTTCTCATCCGAGCTAGTCTCATCAAAAGGGGTCAATCCTCATTTCAAGAATGGCGGTCGTTTGACTAGTTTACAGGTAAGTATTTTGTGTCTACTTCTTTGTCTCAAGTTTTTCCAAAACTCAGACAAAGAGGGGCAAACTGTAGACACCAAATTTTAAAATAATTTTTATCCTAATTTTATTTTTATTTTTAGTAATGGTTCTCTTAATTCCATGATTTTAGTTCTTAGATTTTTAGCATTTGTATAAGCATTTTAATATTTATAGATTATTATTGTCTATCATTTTTATTTTAGTTTTATTCTGTATTCATTTTTACTCTTTTAGCTATTTATCTTTTATTGTAAGACTTCTTAGCATAAAATTTGCCAAAAGAGAAAATTACAAAAAATATGTTTTATTTCTTTTTATGAAAAAAAGAGAGAGAGAAAAGAAAAAAGAAAAAGAGGAAAATCTCAGCTTTTTACTTTTTATCTTTTGGTTACTAATTGTTTAAATTGTTATTTTTGTATTATTGTTATTGTTAGGTGATTGAAAAAAAAAAGGAAAAAAAAAGGGAAAAGTCCACGTTTTGGTTTCGGCAGCAGCAGAAAAGAATTGCAGCCGCAGTTCTCGGCCATTTGGCCTTGGGTTGGCTCCGTCCGATGATCACAGTACAGACCACCTGGCTTAATCCAGAAATCTCAATGGTTGAGCATTAAGAACCATCAGATGGTTCCCCAAAATGCAACCGACTTCCTCCAAACCATCGTGGAGAGGGTTTAGTTTTCTAGGGCCATATAAAAGGAAAGAGGGACGGCAAGAAAAGGGGGATCTGGGAGGTGGACGGCTAGTTGAGTGAGGAAATTAGAAAAGAAACCAGAGGGAGAGTAGAACTGACGGCTAGGGTAAAAAAAAAAGGGAGAGCTGGAAAAGGTTTTGAGAAAACAGCGGTGAAGAAAAGAGAAAAATGGCAAGAGCCGAGAGTGAGAAAGAGCTTGAGGGCTGAGAGAATAGCGTGAGAGAGACAGAGAGAGCACCGAGGGACAGAAAATCTGAAGAAGAGAGGGTCATTGGCGGCTGTAGGGTAGAGAAAAAAAAACAGAAGGCGACGGGGGTTTTTCTTGAAAAGGAAAGGACAGCGAAGAAGGAGCAAGAAGGATCTTCGGCTGGAGGTTGCAGGAGAGGAGCGACTGGGCCTTCATTCATCATCGTCTGACATTCCTTCGAACATCTGAAAGAATCATTCGAGCCTTTTCTTGGCCATCCCACGTTCCATTCTTTGATTAAGGTATTGTATTCACCCTTTTATAGTTGAAAGCTACTTTCTTTAATCGTTTGCTTGCATTCCCTTGCTGTTTACTGGTTCTGTTTGGGCTTCAATACGATTGATGGTTCTTATTTGGGTAACGTTAAATCTGGTGTTGGGGTAATGAGTTAGCTCCTGTATGGTTGGGTCTTGGCCGAACAAAGCTGCAGAAAAGTTTGCAGCTTTGATCGTTCTATACTTAGAATCTTTGGGCTGGGTTGTGAGGGACGGAAACCCAGAAATTTTACTGTCTGTTGTGTCGGATTATGGTTTGGTATGTGCCTGTTGTGTACGGTTGCTGAAAACTCAAAGCTTCAGAGGTTGCAAAAATTTCTTTAGTTGCGGGAAAGGCAGCAACCGTAGCTATGGTTTTATATCATGATTTGGTTGTTTTGGTTCAAAGTGATTTGAGTTGAGTTTTGTGGAATCAGTAGACAGGCTTACACGTTTCTTTTGAGTTCATGCTCATGGTCGTCTTCCTGCGCTTATAGAAGCTGAAACATTTGCAGAAATGAACCCATGAATGAGTTCAAACTTGCTAGTTGTCATAGTTTTTCTTTGTTTGCATGTTACTGTCGCGTGAGACTGCTAAATGGTAAAGCATCAGATAAGCTTCAGAAATTTTGCTAGAGCCGCATGGTTTTCCTTCTGATCTGTGTGTCAACATCTGAAGTTTTATGGGGAAAAGTAGAAAAATGTTTGCCGTGAGTGTCATTTCGCCTCTGCTGCAATTTCACATTTAGTTGCATTATAAAACTACTGGTGCTTATAGTCCCTTTTTCGGATGCATGAAGTCTCGAACGATTCCTCTTTGCTCTGTGCTTTGGATCATTTTCATTGCTTTAATCTAGCCCATGAAGTCTTTCATCATTGGTATGCTGTTAAGATGAGAGTTTGGGATTCTTGTTTGAATGAAAGAAAGCTGCATTTTTTTTGTCATAATTTGCTGCTTTGCTTTGGTCCTATAACAACCCATGAAGTTGAATTTCTTCACCTTGTTTGTGTGATCACCATGGGTTTTGTTTATAAATTTTGGCCATTTTTCATGGGTTACTACAAGCTACGAAAGTGGCAGCAGAAAATTGCAGAAGTAAAGAAGCCTTTGG